TGTTAAGATTTGGGTTAACAGGTAAGTTCTCCACTTCACCTCCCCCCTTTCTCTTAGCAGACACCTTCGGTTGCTTTAGTGTTCACTTTCTTCAACACTTTCATTTCACTGAATTTTGTACCATGTTACGGAATGGACGCATTGAATGATAAAAAAGATTGCATTCAAATTTGTTTTCCTGTACATCTAACACATAGATCAAAAGCACCCATTAGAAAGGAGCTACCTGATCCTTCCTAATTCCCTCGTGATTCTGTCATAGTTTACATAGGGCTAGATTGATACATGCTCCTTGGACATGAATATCTCTCATGCAAACAGACAGTCTGCTGCCTACTGCTACATCCACTGGATTGGATATTCTATGCAGCCAACTCTTGGAAACTCTGGCTGAGCCGGGATGCCATTTTCTGAGTGTTGACATCATATCCCAAAGATTGAGACACTTGCTGAGCTTGGATTGGTAAATGGAGTGGCTGGTTGTTGAACCACTCTGTTGACCTAAATCTGGTACTTAGGTATCCACAACCTCCACCATTGAAATTATGACCGTGGTTGCTGTATCTAATATTTTATGGTTGTGCTGGAACATTAGAAAATCTATTATTTCAAGGTTCAGTCTGCATTTTTAACACATGGATCATTGTCTGTGATTGAAAATTTGTGTAACAATATACCATGATGAACTGCTCATAACGAAATGATAAAAACTTGCCGGTTTAGTTTACAGTTGAAGCTAAGCTTTGTTTTTCTGTTGGAATTGTTTTCCATCAGCGGAGACACAGATTCCGTGTTGCTCGTGACTGCAACGAGATACTCCATTGATGCACTGAAGCTTCCCACCGTCACCAATTGGTATCCTTGGTATGGCAACAGGAGGGTAAGTAACACAATTGTTCCCTTCTTCCAGACCGTAAATTGTCATCAACATATTAATAACTTCCATTGCTTGCACATCTTAATCTTCAGCTTCATTTTGTATTCACAGGTTGGTGGATGGAGCCACGTTTAAAGAGGGCCCACGTCGGGAGCAGGACATGAAGTGCCTCTCCATTACCCTAGGCAAGCTTTCATTCTTTTTAGATAATTTCTTGAAGGACAAGCCATTGCCTAGCTAGCTAGCTAGCTATCTAGCTACATCATCTGATCTGCGGTCCAACAAAATTGTTCTCGGAGTAGGATAATAATAGCACTGATACTGAGAATTGTGCATATACACTGGACTTTGAAGAAAGAAGCAACACCAGAGTAAACAGAACGCAATCTTCTCGAGTGCTGCTGTCCGTCTCTCCATTACTTTCGGCTCTGCAACTGCATGAAATGCCACATTTTCTGCTTCCTATTCATCTATGTAACTTCATAGAAACTATCGAGAGATGGAAGAGAAGAAAGCTCAATTCTTTTCTTTATAGGTCAATCCTAATTGAAATTCTTGGTGGTAGTATTGGTGCCGATAGACTTGATGCAATGCAAGTTTGGCTTTGAACTTGTTTTTATATCTATTGACTCGTTGCAAATGGAATTTGTATTTGGTTGAAAACTTTGGTTATTTCGTATGCAGCTCAACCACTTGATCAAATTTGTATTGGTCTTCCAGTCTATAAGATGGAAAGCAAGTATGTTATACTATTACTAAAACGCGTCAACAATGTACCGATATTATTATCATCATGGTAGAGACAGAGAGCATCTTGTGCAGTTCAATGCGAGCAAGAGAAGTGGCAGCAGTGTCTCATTGATCGAGCACAGGCTGGAGAGAAGTTTTGGAGGAAACTGGAAGTAAGATAATTAGCATGGAGCACAGGGTTTGGTCTCTCTGCCTTCATCACTGTTTCTGTTTATATCTTGCAATCCAAGGAACACAAGGGTCTAGAACTGTAACTGCAAGGAAGGAAGGGCGACGACCAAGTCAAAGTCATGACATCGGACGGCGTAGACTGATTGATCTCCCACGTGAAGCATGTGCGTGTTTGCGCTCGCTGGGAGATTACGCGGCGGGATCTGTGCCTTCAGAAAAGTCGGGCATTTGGTCGGCCGGTGGGCGGATCCGGATCCGGATCATGAGCCATGAGGCCGGTCCAACTTAGCCGTAAATTTATTGCTTACTCAATCCTATTTAAACCAGGATTAAAAAAAGGTGCAAAGGAGAGAACAAGGAAGTTATTGGATTTATGCTCTTTCTTTACGCTCTGTTTGGCAACAAGGGGGGTGCAAATTGCAGGAGGGTGCAAGTTGAGGGGTAAATTGCTGGGGGTGCAAATTGCTGGGGGGTGTAAGTGGAGGGGTAAATTGTTGTTTGGATGAAAAAGTAGGGGGGTGCAAATAGAGTGAAAAGTAAGTAATTATATTATTTTAAAATATATTTTAAAAATAGATTTTAAGATTACAAAATAGATTTTAAAATTTTAAAATATTATCATAAAATAATAAAATAAATATTACTATATAATAATAAATATACTTTACTAAAAATAGTTATTATATAATAATGCTCAAATAATAATTAATTATGACAATTGTATAATCATTGATCGAGCGATCTCAAAACTCGAAGCTCAACTTGTAACTGGTCATCCTATATAGGGTTTTCGTGTCTAGTTTAATCTTAAATTGTCAAACTTAGTCAAACACGTTCGAATTTGTAAGTTTTAACTATTTAGTCAAATAAACTGAGTTAACCAAACAATTTCTCTCTATCTTTTCCACAAACACCTCGTATCTCTAATTTTCAATGCAAATTCGATTCAACCAAGAGATTTAGATTTGACTTGACGAATAAACTTGTTTCTAGAGTCAAATGGTCAACCCCGAATAATGTTTACATTAATGATATTTATAAAAAAAAGAAATTGATAATATTAATTATTATATAATTATATATAACACAATTAGAAAAACAAAATTCCATAATTCCCCCTCCCCCCTCTCTTCCTTCCTTCCCTTGCACCCCAATTTGGGGGGTAAGCCGAAACAGTAAATTTGCACTCCCGTTTTGCACCCCCCTACTGTTCCAAATTAACCAAACAGGTGCAAATGTGTTGGAAACTGTATTTACCCCTCACATTTGCACCCTCCTCCCATTTACCCCTCTTCCCAAAGAGAGTGTTAGAGTGCGCCAACTCAGTCCTTTCTCTTTATATCTAGGGGTTTTGTTGATAGTAACCCCATCATCTCATCAAGAGTGCTCTCACATTTGAGACTTGGGGTTACATCATGCCATAATATTAAGTTCACGGCAATGCAGTCAAAAGCGCGATTCTACCTAAAAGCGGAAAATGGGTAAAATCGAAAAGCGGCGAATCAAAGCGTAAAAGCGTAAGTTTTTGATGCATCATGTATAATAGTTAAAAATCTGTTAAGTACCACATGTATTATGCAAAATATGAGTGCATGGAGTTTAGACAAATGAATAAATACATGCAATTCATGTCCAAATTAAAGCAAATTCATAACATCTTAACAATAAGTTCATAAACATAAACTGTAACCCACAAACGAGTTAATAACCAAATTCTCACAACATTAGCTTCACATTCTGCCCTTGGTTTCTCAAAGGTTCAATTAAAAACACCACATATACATAATTTAGCAGTAGCATACGTAGGTAAACCAGTAGGTTATACGCCTATTGGAAATTATAAGTAGTTTCCTTCATTTTGCTGGGTTGGTTTAAATTATTGAGAAAGTGTAAGTTGTAATTTAGCTAGAAATACCTGCTAGGTTAAATGTTCAGGGTGGACTAAGAGTTGAGAAGGGGAAGCATTTACCCACCCTTTAGAAGTCATAGGTGAAGTGGCGACGGGGTATGACGAGATAGAGACAGAAACTAACATGGTGTGGCGCCAGCGAGTGGCGACAGGCGACGACGAGTGCGACAGGTGCTGCCGCGTTGGAGCTATCGAGTTCGACGGGCTAGAGCTTCACTGGAAGGTGGCGACGACGGTTGCGGACTTGCAGCGGCAGCGAATACTTCACTGGAAGGCCGGCTGCGCGGCGGCGCAGAGTGTGCTGGAGTGCTGGAGATGGAGGATTAGGGATTGCGGAAGAGTGGTTTGGCAACCTCAACCTAATATCCACCCCCTTTCACCCCTTTTTTTTTTGTCCGAAGTGATCAAAATGACGTCGTTTTTGTTTGGCGGAGACAATTTTCTCCTTTGCTTGGAATCGGATAAAAACGGTATGAAAGCGCGCTTTTATCCGATTTTAACGATTCTACTAACGCTTTTGACTGATTTTGAGTAAAATACGATTTTATTAGTGATTTGAAACGTTTTCCTACCCTAGAAACGTAAAATCGTACGATTTTACGCTTTAAAGCGCGATTTTGACTACACTAGTTCACGGTATATTAAGCATGTCTACTCCAACATAACAGAAATGAAGTCCGAGAATTAGAACCAAACACCATCATCTTTGAATAGAAGGTTACAAAGTTAAATTCCCCTCTTAATATTGGCGAATCACCGATTTGGGCAACAAAAAATTCTTCTAAGGACTAATCTTGGTGATGCCTTTTGCATGTACTCAAAGGCCACTTGCAAAAGCTGAGTGATTTGGTTAAATGGTTTACCAAGTAAAAATTAGTACATCATGTCAGGAATTGAATCCTCCACACATCTTCCATCCTTTTCCCCTCTTTTGCCTGAAGTGTCAATTGTTTGGTGGATACAATGTAAAAGGTACCACGGAAATGCAATCAATTGCATGCAAATCAACAGAAGCAAGTAGGATGCATGAAAACAGAGCCCATAGTGACATAAAAAAAAACAATAATAGTCTGACCCTGGAGGCAGTGCAAAACCTTGAAACCAGCACATTCCTTTACTTGCACACTTTTACAACTAATCCCAACCTAGCTTTATGACTCCAAAAGTCAATCAAGGCAAACCCACCAATAAAAAAACACAAACCTTCCCACTTACCCACCTCCACCACTACTACACAAACTTCCAAACTTCAAATGCCTCCCTTTTAGCCTCTCCTCCACCCGCTTTACCATAATGGGCGTTCTTCAGCTCCTCTTTCCTTCCATACTTTTTCTGCTCTTCATATCTTCAACTTTGGCCTCTTCTCAAGACCAGCTGAAGGATAAGATTCTCAGGTTGCCAGGCCAGCCACCGAACGTTAGCTTCTCCCAATTCTCCGGCCACATCACCGTCGATTCTCGGGCGGGGCGGGCACTCTTCTATTGGTTCGTCGAGGCTCCGAAAGAAGCCCGGCCCAAGTCGAGACCGCTGGTTCTGTGGCTCAATGGTGGGCCGGGCTGCTCTTCCATAGCCTATGGAGCTTCCGAGGAGGTCGGACCTTTTCGGGTCCGGCCAGATGGCAGAAGTCTCGATCTAAATCCCTATGCCTGGAATCGAGGTAATTAACGACGTTGTATATGGCATTAGCACAACAGGGTGAAATGTTTTGATTATGTAGAACAGCCATATATAGAACAACTTCTGAATTGTCAATATGGTGCATGCAGTGGCCAATTTGCTGTTTCTGGATTCTCCTGCTGGCGTGGGATTCTCTTATTCAAACACTTCGTCAGATTTGTATGAGGTTGGTGACAATAGGACAGGTATTGAATCTCAGCCTTCTTTTTGGGTTTGGTTGTTGTAGTGTCAATGTGTCATGTATATTATCTTTCTTTACTATATAGTATAACAATATATATATATATATATATATATATGTGCATGCCACTAGTTATATTACAATTAGTACCACTTAGTGACAAGTGTACAAATTTGGTATTTTTTATTAAATCCAAAGTACGGTTAAAGATTCAAAAAAAGACTTCTAACGTATGCGTGCACGCCACATTAAAGAGATCCGTTCAATTTTGACTATTGAACAGTTTATGTTGGCTCGGTCAATTTTTGGTTAATCACAAACACCAACAATTCGATTTTGATTACATGTGGTAGCAGTGTTCTCTATCGACTAGTGTTTTTTCCGTTCCTAGTTTGGTCAACTGAACCAGACCGGTTTACTAGCTATAGCCCTACTTAGAATGTGACCTAGCTAATTTTGTTTGTGTTCCACAAAAAAAAAATGCAGCAAAAGATGCATACAAGTTCCTAACTAGCTGGCTGGAGAGGTTCCCTCAGTACAAGAAGAGACCTTTCTACATCGCAGGAGAAAGCTACGCTGGACACTACATTCCTGAGCTGTCCCAGATCATAGTCCAAAAGAACAGGAGATCGGTCAACAAAACGACTCCCACCATCAATTTCCAAGGTTTCTTGGTAAGTGCTCATTATTTCACATAATCAGTTTGCTCACTGAGATCCAAGAATCACGCATGCATATATATATGAACAATATTAGTTATTATTAGTATATTATTTTACTAAATCTCGGGTTGGTTTTTCCAGTTAGGGAACCCACTGATCGACGACTACCACGACAACGTCGGGAGCCACGAGTACTGGTGGAACCACGGCCTCATCTCCGACCAAACCTACAAGCAGCTCCAGAAGTATTGTCCCAACCAATCGTTCCTGTTCCCGAGGGGACAGTGCAACTCGGCACAGAACGCGGCGTTCACCGAGTTCGGCAACATCAATCCTTACAGCATCTACAGCCCTCCGTGCCAAGCTCTCGGCTCTACCCAGCATCATCATCATTCCCAGCTGCAGCTGGTAATTAACTTTCTCGACACTAACATAATTACCCAACAACAAATGATAATTAATGATTCCCTCGCTCGCATGTTGTTTGTGTGTTCCCCACGCATACATACGCATGCAGCTTTGTCAATTAAGTATGGAGGGAACAAATTAAGTTTTGAGATCATCATCACCTCTTCTTTCTTTCCTTGGAATATGCCAGCCGTGGAAGTTTAGGGGAAACGATGAGTGTGTAACGAAATACACGAAAGTGTACATGAATCGCCCTGATGTTCAGAAGGCTCTCCATGCAAAACAGACCAGAAATAGTACTCCCAATCCTTGGACTACTTGCAGGTATATATAGTTTTTTTTTTTTTTTGCCACATCTCCACATGCCACAAGCCCACAACCATCAATTAAAACCTGCTCGATCGAATGTTTCTTTTGGTTGGATTACAAATGAAGCATGATAATTATACTTTTCTTGACGTACTTTTTGTTGCAGCTCTGTGATTAGGAGGGAGTGGAAGGATTCCCCAAAATCGGTGCTTCCAATCTTCAAACAACTCATCAAAGCTAAGATCAGAATATGGGTTTTCAGGTGTGTCAAACTTCCCCACGTAACCCCTAGTTTGATTTACATGCATGCAAGCTCGAAAGTGTTGTTTTTTTCCCCCTAAAAAGGCTGGGGTTATTAATGGCGTTATGATTGATACGTACATTTGCAGTGGTGATGCAGATGCGATCTTGCCGGTGACGGCGACTCGATACTCCATCGGAGCTCTGAACCTTCGAACCATAAAAAACTGGTCGGCTTGGTACGACAATGAGAAGCAGGTGGGAGGATGGAGCCAAGAGTACGAAGGGTTGACGCTTCTGACGGTGAGAGGAGCAGGGCACGAGGTTCCTCTCACTCGCCCGAAGCTTGCTCTCTTGCTCTTCACGCAGTTCCTAAGAAACCAATCCATGCCCAATGGTGACGATTAACCGATCGAGGGGGGGAAGGGTGCCTGCATGTTATACTGCTATTTATTGATTGATTATTTACTGTATACGTACGTGTAGACAAGTTAAGAGGAGTTGATATTCTCTTAATTATATATTGCTACTTCCATTTGATCATTTGCTGTAATAGGGCACATCCAGCATTCTGATCATAAGTTGTTTACGGAGTTGATCTCTCCATTCTATTTCTACTCGATTGTTTGATTACGGAAGATCTCATTTATTGTAATTTGAATCCAATCAACACGGTATAAAAAAAATCCAGCTAATTCATTCCACTTAATTAAAATCCAATTGAATTCATGGATTGTTCAAAATTCTATTTTAGTACCTATTCTTTTTATGTTTTACAATTTGATGCCTAAATTTTACTTTTTTATTAAAATTTAAGTTTTGGTACCTAAAATTTTTCTAAGGACATATTAGCACCTAAATTTTTTATAATTTTCAAAATGATTCAACGTGTGGTACCAATTGAATCAATGAATCCACCAATCCATTAAATAAATCAATGGACCCACCAATCAACCAATCTAATTCATTTGCAGCCTCTAGTTGCAATGCACGCATAGGAAATATTAAACCCCCTAATCCAACACATTCTTCGGATAACAAGCTCAAGCTTCGTGATTAAACACATGCATCTTGCATAAACACATGCTTACCAAGGATGTAACCTGGACATACATATAGAGAGTTAGAATGTTGATTACAACCAAGTTAACAGTAGGGATGACAATCAAATTAATGATCGCGGGTACTCAACTGTCCTCGATTAAGTCAACAAGGAGAACCCGACATTGACTGGGTATTGGGCAGGGTGGGTAAGACACGTAAAACGTTTGATGGGTACGAGGTGAATATGGTTTTAAACTCCCCGGATCCATACTAATACCCATATGCATCCCACCAAGAGCATTCCTTCACATATAAAAAAAATACATTAATCAAATTCCAACATATCAACTATAGTGAGGGTAACTCAAAAAATAAATTAATTAAAAATGCAATTGAGTGACCACCCAAATCAAAACCTAATTCCTTTCTCTCAATTCTCCCTTCACACTTTCATTTTTTCCCCCCTTAGTTAAGAAAATTATGTAAGCTATTTATCACTTAGTAGAAGTATCAAAGTCAGCCAATAATCATTTGGAAAATAATGTACTCTATCTTATGGATTAATGGATGTCTTGGGATCAAATGCTTTAAACTGTACGAAGAATGATTGTATCTTTTGTTGACTTCATGACATATAGCAAGTCCGTTTAGTGTTATAATAGAAATGTTACTTGTAAAATTTAAGATATAATAATTTTGGATGTATGAAGCGGATATTACCAACTAGTATGGGGATGGGTTTGCGAAACCTTCCCTGTATGAATATGGGACGAATATAAATTAAATATTTGAAAGCAGAGATATGATAGAATGGTTTAGACAAACACGCTCCAGACCCTCCGCAATAACAGTGGCATTCCTAACTATTTGCTTAACCAAGGAGAGAAAATTCCATTTCAAATGCATGTGCCAATAGATAGCCACGCCTCTGGTTGTAATTCCAAAACTCGTCGCCACTTCAGGGTCCACAAACAATGGCCGAAACTAGGGGGGAAATTGAAGGAATCGAATTAATGCAGAGGGGTAGGTGTTCGACATAAGATAGGTGTAGAAGTAATTGAGGGGTTGATTGATGGCATGCGCAGCTGGTTGTGGGCCGAGGATGAAAGCTCAAGGTCGAGGCCGGGGGGAAAAAACGAACAAGTAGGAGGAAAAAAACAAGCGATGCTCCTGCTCCTGCTCAAACGTACAGTGAAGAGGCTATGAGTCTTCAATTCACCAACGGCTATTATAATCCACTAGTTATCAGCTGACTAGTCTCCTCAGTTTTTCTGCATCATCACTCTCTCAAGCGGTGGAACGATGACGTCGCAAGAAGTAGCAGCCAAGGAAGAAGGAGCTAGCGGCGGCGAGGACTACCACGACCATGCACCGGCGGCGAAGGACTACCGTGACCCGCCGCCGGTTCCGCTGATCGACTTGCCGGAGCTGGGGCAGTGGTCATTCTACAGAGCAATCATCGCTGAGTTCATCGCCACCCTGCTCTTCCTCTACATCACCGTGCTCACTATTATCGGCCACAACTCCCAGCCCGACCCATGCGCCCGAGTCGGCCTCCTGGGCATCGCCTGGGCCGTCGGCGGCATGATCTTCGTCCTCGTCTACTGCACCGCCGGCATCTCCGGTACCCTCACTCACTCCTTTCTTCCTTTAGCTTCCTTATATAGCGACTTGCTTCTCCTATACGCATACAGTCTTTAGATGGGTGATGGGTGCCACAGTTTTTTTTTTATATATAATATGGATAAAGGTTTGTTTTTTGTAATTAGGTGTTATTCAAGAAATTTAAATTTGAGATCTCGATATTCAAATTAAAACTAGTGATTTTATCAGTAAATTTTTGTTTCGTCCATATATGCGTATTGGTATTCTTCATTAATTTTTGTAAATAATAACTTAAAGTTATTACCATAAATAGCCAAACGTGCGTCACGACAATTTTGAACTGGCTCGTTTTACCCGATCTGTTTGGTCTGTTTTGGGGCGGAGCGGGCATGGGTATTCTCATCAACCCGACCTGTCTTGACCCGCCCCATTTTCAACCCGTTCTTGACTAAATTACATATAATCTTAGTCAAATTACTTAAAATTTTCCTTTTCTAACATCATATTTTAGCTATAACAAAGTTGTAAATTAGTGAAAATCCCAATTTCTCCAATAATTAAACTACATTATTTATAATAATATGATTTGTTTTCTTGGTTTTATAACTAAATTAATGAATATTTCTAATATTTTCCATATAAATTGCATGTTCATTGAGTCAACCTACCCCAACCCGCGATCCATGATAAATTACCCGATCTAGCATGGAGTGGATATTGGTATCACGATATCCGCCCCAAACCTGCCACATTGTCTTTCCTATGCGCCCACTAAGCTTTAGGGATTCAAACATGAGACATCTAATTTGAACACCAAAAATGATACACTAGATCAAGTCTCTCTTCGTTGTCGGCAAAATTATTACGCGAGGACCAATTATTGTGCAGGGGGCCACATCAACCCGGCGGTGACGTTCGGGCTGTTTCTGGCGAGGAAAGTGTCGCTGATAAGGGCGGTGACGTACATGGTGGCTCAGTGCCTGGGAGCCATTTGCGGGGTGGCGTTGGTGAAGGCGTTTCAGGAGTCTTACTACACCAGGTACGGCGGCGGCGCCAACACTATCAACCCTGCCTACAGCACCGGCACCGGACTGGGAGCGGAGATCATCGGAACTTTCGTGTTGGTTTACACCGTCTTCTCCGCAACCGACCCCAAGAGAAACGCTCGCGACTCCCATGTCCCTGTACGTATATATGCGGCCCTTCCGGCCACCATTCTTGGCAGTATTCATTAGTACTATTTTTTTTCTTGGATTTCGGTACAAAATTCTGGCCTTCAAAATCATGCAAAATCCTGGTCGTCGTATCATCGTGTATAACGACATAGCGATACAATCATACGACACGATAATACATCGTATTCTGATATGACGAGATTTTGCAAAGTCTCGCATGTCTGTGTTTTGTACACTATATATCGCTCCAAATTTTTTTTTTTTTTAATGATTTGCTAAAAAGGATCATTTGTTAAGGGGCTTTCTGTATCTATGTTAGGTTCTGGCGCCGCTGCCTATTGGATTTGCGGTTTTCATAGTCCATCTGGCTACCATTCCGATCACCGGCACCGGTATCAACCCGGCCAGGAGCTTCGGAGCTGCTGTTATCTTCAACGAAGAGAAGCCCTGGGATGACCATGTATGTAGAAAATCAGGGCGTTTATATTTGAAACCTATATATATATATATCATGTGCTTATTTTCTCTTTATGACGGTGGGTGGTATATATATATATATGTGCAGTGGATCTTCTGGGTCGGACCCTTCGTCGGAGCTGCCGCGGCAGCCTTCTTTTACCAAAAAGTGATGAGAGCCGGAACCAACAATGCTTTTTGGTCGTTCAGCAACAAGGGTGGTAGCTAGGAATGGCATCAAATTGCAATCATAGTGGGCGTAACGATTAGCCGCTTGAATCGGAATTTCACTAAAATCGAACTTTGATTGCATACGTATATTTGCAAGAAGTATGTGTATTTATTATAGTACAACTATGCCAAACATATTAAAGAATGTGCGAGGAATTATTGTAATATTGATATTGAATTAATTATAATCTCGTTTTTGTGTTACTATTGATACTATTTGTGAGCTACTAATCTATTTCACGTCATGTCTTGTGATTTTAAATGTATTTTACCTTCTAGAATGAAGATAATGAAATATATATATTTATTCGTGATAGTGAGTTTGAGTCTTAAAATATGGGTGTGAGGGGGAAAAAAAGGAATTGTTAATGACGATACGATTAATGCATCTTTTTACAAACTTATTCATAAGATATGACCCTGAGGAAGATTCCAAAGTAATTTACTATTATCATGATTGTTAGTTTTTCTTTTATGAAATAGAAAGCAATTTATTGTTATCATGATTTTAAAATTTAGCAAAATGATGCAGATCGGTAGTCGTTAATTATTATTGTGAAGGCATAGGTGAACAAGTAGTTAAGGTCGACGTCGTACTGCCCGCTGGTCGTGGCCCACGGAGGGCGAGGAGATAAGGCCTAAGGGAGTAATTAATAATAATTTGTTGACTAGTGTCGGTGCCCGATCGGAAGAATTCTTCAGCGCCGGCCAAACACCATCATCCGGTTAGTCGGATGTGGCGCGGAGATCATCGGCACTTTCATATTGGTTTACGTACACCGTCCTCTCCGCCGTCGATCCCAAGAGGAACGCTCGTGAGTCCCATGTCCCAGTGAGTGTTTAATTTTTGCATGGAAGTTTCGTTAATCAATATTTTCATATGGTTTCATTAATCTCATCCATCAATCACACACACGTACGATTTCATCAATAATCATTTCTGATTTGATGGTTGCCCAAATCAAACAGTATGTTTTTAATGTAGTTAGCAATTAGCAAAATTAGCAGCTAGCAGTAGCTATAGAATTTGCTAGTGATAGAATTAGCAGATGATCTTTTTTGTTATGTACATTGCTGCATATAGCAGATGTATTTTTCGAGGATGCTTGATTTCATCAAGCTTGAGCTTAATAAAGAGACAACAACAATTACCGAAAAAATTAAGATTTGAAATAACAATAGTAAGTCGTCATCTTCTTTGTTACACACTCTTGATGTTGTGGCTTTTCATTAATTTTGATCATTGGCGACTAGTGACGGCCGCAATGATCAATTCGGTTTTTCTAAACTTAAACGCAACTCAAAGGGTGAACCCATTAAAAACTTCGATAATATACCTATTTTGGAATTTGGAAGTGAAACCCCAACTGAACTAAACCCAATATGTATTCATGGGTAGCTAATAGCTATGAGTTCATGAACATAACCATACATTATTTCTTCGAACATCCATATTCTAATGCAAATAAAAAAAATTGCTACAAATATCTCTGTATAAATTACTAATACATCTATAAATTATTCAGAATATTAGATTTATATTGCCATAAAAACTAATAATATCTATAAATTATTCATATTGTTCTGATTGTATATAAAATGAACTCGTTTTACTTTATGACAAAATCCAAATCCGACCCCAAATCTGTCTACGTTGTTTTTTTACCTACGGTAACCGGGTTAAGTCAAATTTGTACTCATATGTTCAGTTTCAATTTCCGTCCCTATAATCGCAACTAAAAGTGAAAAAAACGAGACGAAGCACAAAGAAAAAAGAGCCAAGTGAAGGTTTAGTCGAGTTCAATCCATTTGATGAGTTGTTTTTAATTTGAACGTGTTTTTGTATGCAAGTTAGGTTTTGGCACCACTCCCGATTGGATTTGCCGTCTTCACGGTTCACTTGGCCACCATTCCAATAACCGGCACCGGTATCAACCCGGCTAGGAGCTGCCGTTATCTATAGCGGGGAGAAAGCCTGGGATCACCATGTATGTGTACAATCGATCACATTCAACCATTGATAGCTGCACAATCTCTCCTTTCTGTTCAATGAATCCGTTTCTGCTCATAATTAATGCATGCGCAGGGGATCTTTTGGGCCGGACCCTTCGCCGGAGCTGCCGCGGCAGCTTTCTTTCACCACTACGTCAAGAAAGCCGGAGCTGCCAATGCTCCTAGGTTCAGTAAAAAGTGCGTCGAGGGTATCATCGACTTGGTCTCAGATTGGGTGCAATGTTAATTATGAACTCTGCTTCGATCGGAATTGGCGCAATAAGCAATCAACTTGGACCGATTGGATACCAATATATGTATTAGCTTAGCGCATGTAAATAGCAAAGAATCACTTTTTATGTGGATGTTGGATTGCAAATTTGCAATCTAGTTGGGGGATCAATGGCGATCGAGGCGACTGATCATCGAGGATACAACATAATATACAAACATAGGCATTTAAAGGTGGTTTGGTTGGCCCAATTTGCAATTCGTCGATTCAATGGACGAGTTAGAAATTATATATATATTAGTAGTATTAAAAAAAAACTACTAAGCATTGTCAATTATTCTCGAGTTCAAACGCTCACATCGTTAAAAATAAATTTTTAGCAAAAACATTTTGTCCCAAAATTGGATTAAGGTATGTGAATTGACAACCACCTGAAATTCTCTATGTGTCGATCCTAATCAGCCTTTCAACTCGTGGCATTGATCAAATTGTTATGTTCACTTGGTTGTTGTTATTCGATCTGTTTGATTAGGGCCTGAATTTCGTTACAAAACCCCTTACCTGCAAAACTCTGGTTGTAACCATCAAAATTTTGCAGATCGAGTTTTGTATTCCTTTGATTAGTGAGGTCGATCTAGGTCTAACAACCTTGATTCTAATCAATTATTGAGTCCAAATTAGCTAACAACCTTCACTTCTACTTTTTCTAAAAACTCTTTCAAAAAATTAAGTACAAATGAACACCACTATCAGTTGGATTTTGGAAGGACCAGTTTGGCCAAAAGTCTTAAAGCGACGGACTATTTCCACTTTTTGCGCTTCCCACTATCTCCCGTCACTTCACTGTAGACCTCGAGTCGCTCAAAACCTCTCTTCCCTTCTTCCTCCGCCTCTTTCGCCCGTCGAGGTCAGCAGCAATGGGAAATTCATCGTCGATGCTGACTCAGTACGATATCGAAGAGGTCCAGGGGCATTGTAATCACGCCTGTAAGTTATCTTCTCTTTGACAATTCGACGATCCAGCCGATCAAATCGCGGTTACCTTGGTTTGTTACTTGTTAAGCTTACCTTGATGTGAACGTTTACCTTGTGCGTAGTTTCACAGCAAGAGATAGTCTCGTTGTACCAGCGGTTTTGCCAACTGGATCGGAGCAGCGGTGGGTTTATCTCCGCCGACGAGTTCCTCTCCGTGCCTGAGTTCGCCGTCAATCCTCTCGCTCAGGTTCTTTTAGCCTTTGCCCTATATTTTCGTTGAAGTGTCCTCCTGAATTCCCCCCTCCTTGTGTTTTGATTATCGTTTCCTTTTGGAGGTTAGAGATTGCTGAGAACGGTTGATGGATTGAATTTCAAAGAATTCGTTGCTTTCCTGTCTGCATTCAGTCCTCGCGCCACATTGCAACAGAAAATCGAATGTATTGTTCCTCGTTCTCTCGTTGACTGGTATTGTTGAAATGGTTTGCTTTGGTTGCTAAGTTGTTGTTTGTTTATCCTGTAGTTATCTTCAAGCTATATGATTCGGATGGAAAAGGTTCAGTTTCATACAAAGACATATTGGATGTGCTGCGTGATTTGACTGGACATTTTATATCTGAAGAACAGAGAGAGGTTGGATGTTCATCTCGTTGCTTCATGCGTTACGAATCGGTTTATACCTAGAGGGTGGTGAATGTTCTTTGCTACTTTTGACTGCTGTCTTGTGTGGTGTTTCTTGCAGCAAGTGCTGAAGCAGGTTCTTGAAGAAGCAGGCTACAGAAAGGACTCGTCATTAGTTTTTGCCGACTTTGTAAAGGTACTGTGAGATTGTGTAGTGTTCTCATGTTAGGCAGTTATTGCAGTAAGGAAAGCTTTGATGGACTTCAATTATACGGTTAACTTGGTTGGGTGGTCGTGGGATAGCAAATTCGATAATTGGTTCAAGTCTCAGCTTTGGTGGCTCTTTCTGGATTCCTGGCATCTAGTTCGTTTTTACATTGTTGTCTTGGATAGTTCTCAAAAGTAGTTAGCTCCGTCTATTCACATATTGTGAAGTTTATATCCTGGGAAAGTTTATCTTGGCATAGTTGTGCAGCTGAGACAATTATTACCTACAAGTTTGCTGGGAGCTTTTATTAGATTGGCAAGAGAAATCATGCTGGGAAAACATCAGAAGCATATATCTTGTGCTCTTGAGTAGGAAAAGGTCTAAGCAACTGGTAGATTCTGTGCCTTCAGAGCTGGAAATGTAGATTTTTTATAGGATAATCATATGACTGTTTGGAGATGGTTATGAGTTGATTTTCCTTTTGCGGCTACTGATAGCAGTAGCACTTGGCTTGTTTAGATTGTCAAAACTGGGTGGAGAACCTAAAATGGAGAGCTGCTGTGTGGCATTATTAGTTTAATGTATTGGAAGCTTGATGTAGGAATATTGATAGCAGATGCATTCATGTTAGGATAGTGTTGGAATGATCTATGTCTTGAAAGTAGGATTATAATGAATATGGAGTTTAATTCCACAGCTAACTCTGTAAAATTGTGAAAAGGCTAGTCGTTTGGGTGGCTTGGAAGGTGTTCTGAAAAGGATGATTCTGTCAGTCTAGGTAAAGATTTGTTGTAGAAGAATTCATGTTCAAACTCTACATGCAACGGAGTTCAGGTTGCTTTTCCCGGCAGTTATGTCAACCTTGAGTTTCTGTTGGTGGATTTATGCGCTGCTTGTTCACACACCATGTAAAGACATTCAAGTTGGTTTTAACCCAGTCATTTCAACTTTTGAGTCTTTGTTGGAACGTTTACGCTTTACAGTTTCACGAAACCATTTAGTAAATTCTTCAATCCCATATATAGGCAAGAGTGGTGTCTGTATTTAGCCCGACTCATGTAGTTCTCCTCATAACTGCATAGAGTAGGGCAGTACCCTATTCATTCAATCCAAAAAGTAAAAACTGCACTTGCTCTTCTCAAATTGATCTGGTTCCACAGCTGGTCATTTAGTTGCTTTTCCTTCAAACAAATTTCTCTGTTTCCTGGACCCATTAGATAGATGCTCAGAGGCTTTGCTGCAAGGTTCTGGCAAAACTCATTCCGCCCTCGTAATAATTCATCTTCCCACCAATATTGTGCTAACACAACTTTGACTCTGTTGCATGCACAGATCCTAGGAAATCCGGGCTTGAAGATGGAAGTAGAGGTTCCAGTAGATTAGGCAGTGGAATTTTGTACCCCCAATGTATGAAGCAGCATCTGCATCTCCCATTATGCTGCTGCTCTAGATCCGGAAGCAGGGGAGAATACTGAGCAGCCCACCTCACACTCCCCAACTCTGTATAATCGTACAAACTTTATCCTTGCTTGTAAGGCACCTGAATTTAGTTGGACCTTCTTCAACTCCATTGTTTCTCGAGTTTCCTTGTACCTCCAACTAATCTGATCTCTCTATTGTACGTCAATGGAGGAGAGGGGATTAGTTGTAGAATTAGCAGATTCTTATTGACTGACAGTGTTCGTCTTCACAACTTCGTGCTGCCATCTGGAACTAGTAGAGAGATTGTAAGCCTCCTTTTCTTTGGGAGGGACTCATTACATTCGTGCGTAACATAAAAAAAAAAAAAAAACATTGAACGGCTACTAAAAGGAAATGATTGAATCTTTTGGGAGGGTTCTGTGTCGTGTTACTATAGCTAAGAGTAGTGAACTCCTCGTCACATTTGATCGCACAAAATGGTAAATAGCTGTTTGCCCTAAAAAAGATCGAATTCATGATGTGCTTACGGTAAGAGGCAATCAACTATCACATGACGTTGTTGGATATTTATTTTAGGCAATAGTTCTTGTCCACCATTCTGTCCCGGATGATAGTGTTGGCCTTCTGGTAGCCGTTGATCGTTGAAAGCGCCCTTTCATTTTGAACTGCTTTTTTGAAAAAACTTTAGAAGAAACGAGGACCCACATGATATGAGATTTTAATTTCACCATCTTCCTTAATTTGACATCGGCGGTTTGCCAGAATTAGATCAGGCATCCGTTTGTCAAAAAGGAAATCTTACCCAACGACAGTAGCACCTTGATTTGAAGGGGGGGAAACAAGAACTGGTTAATCCGTTTTTTCCCTATTATCTTCTTCCCCTTCTATTGATTTCAAACTATTATTTTCCCAGGAAAGAAAAAAGAACAGTGAATTAATGCTTAGTCTTTCTGATTTCCTTATCTCCCCTGCTTTCCTGGAAAGGGATCCAATCTCATTTTGATTTCCACCTCCGTTTTCTCACTCGGTTTATATCTCATGGGTTCCTTCTGGTTGTTGATATGGAAGATGTACCTGGGAAAATGATGCAGAGGCTCTCTAGCCGTTACCTCTGCAATCAATGAACAGGTACAAAACAATGTAAAGCTGCCCCCTTTTCCAGTTTCCTATTAAAAAGCTCGTATCTTTACCAACCCCTCAAAAATCATTCCTACGTTTCTGGGTTTTGAATTCTGAAATTTGCATTTGTCGGGGGAGGGTTTTAAGGATTTCCAGGCGCCTGTATTCTAATATTCACCTCTGTCTAATTGGGTTATTGACCTAGCAATCAATCCATCTTCCCCTGCCGCATATCTCTGGTAAGTGTCTCCTCAATTCTCATCCTTTCTGCCCATTTCATTCTTCCATAACTTTGCTAGTGTTAATACGATATATGAGTTTAGGGTTTTACCCCCTGGTTTATGATTTTGGTCATGTGTTTGTTGTTAGTTGAAACTTTTGAGAATTTCTGTCTTTTTAATCTGCAAACAAACATATTTGGGGGGGAAGAAATGGCAATTAGATGCGTTTTCTGACTTGGGAATTCCTTCTTTGTTTCCGTGTTTGGGTATGGAGAAGACTCAGAGCTGGTGAAATTGATCTGACCAAACAATTCCTTGACCATGGCTGAAACCCATCACCATGCCATGTTGCTGCCGGAGACTGATGCGTTTAGTCTAAGAGAAGCACTCCATGGGCAGCAGCAGATCCTGCAAAAACTCTACCGCGAACTGGATGTGGAAAGGGAAGCTGCTGCAACTGCAGCTAGTGAAGCCATGTCCATGATCCTGCGCCTGCAAGGTGAGAAGGCTGCATTGAAGATGGAAGCCAGCCAATACAAGAGAATGGCAGAGGAAAAAATGTGCCACGCGGAAGAGACGCTGGAACTCTGCGACGACATGATGTACCAGAAGGAGATGGAGATCGCATCCCTCGAGTTCCAGCTTCAGTCTTACAGGAACAGACTTGTCAGCGTGGGTCCTAACGATGCACCCGAGCTTGATCTTGCATCTCACAAAAGCGACACTTCGTTTGGGGAAAAGGGTAGTGGTGTGAGGAGGCTCAACTCGTTGCCTCAGCTTGCTTTGTTGGATTTTAGCCAAAAGAAAGTAGGGTTTGACAGGAAACAACTTCCCTCAACTAGCACAGCTACTATTGATGAGGAAGCTGAATTTCAAGAGATTCATGAGCTGGAGAAGAAGTTAGTGGGGGGTCATACTGCTGGAGACTTAAATTCTTACTGGGAACAGATCAAGAAATTGGACGAACGACTGAAAGAGATGTCGGATGGAAGCAGCAAAGATCATACTAGCAAAAACAAGTCTGCAATCTGGAGAGGTGGGACGTGGTCTCATTCATCATATTCACAACTTACTGAAGGAAATAATGGCAATATTTCTGGTGAGAATTCAACTTCACGAGACTTGGAAGTTGGTTTGAGTTCTCTTTTACATTCCAATAATGGTATGGATGACAATCTTGAGAGTCAAAAAAAGCGTTGTGAATTGTTAAGGAAAGGTACATCGTCAGGAGAGCAAGTGAAGACAGAGTTGCAATGTCCTTCAAGCAACGAGAAGAAGAAAGCTCCCAAAGATGCACCACTTGTTGACCATGGTGGTTTGCCTCCTTCCCCTGCTTCAGCACACCATCCTTTGGTGATGCCATGCGATTACCAGAAGCTGATGCGAAGAATCGAGAGGCTGGAGAGGGGGAGGAACAATGTGAGGCAGCACCAGGAGATTGTTTCTTGTGGAGGAGGGCAAACAGCAGAAGAAGAGATGCATCTTTTGAAGGCGATTCAAGAACAGCTGAGTGGGATCCAGACCGAACTCAAGAGTCGAAAAGCTCAGAAACCTATTGTTCCAGATGAACCATGTCTTGATGTTCTCCAAGAGGTATTGGCTTCCCCCCTATTACAACTTGTTCTTTCCACTTGAAGGCAGGTATCTGCATCTGTTGGCTAATGATGGGTGTTTGTTTCTATGCATGCACAGGCAATGTTATACTTCTGGCTATAAGACAATCAATGAGTTTCATACTGTACATTGTTACAAACATTACTACATACATTAGTTTTTGTGAGAAAAAAAGTTTAGTGTGTAGATCTGCACTTCTCTGCAGACTGCAGGAGATGGTGACATTCTGATACACAAGGCAATGGAGTTTGTGTATAAGTAAATAGGCATGACTGATTTCTTCTTCTCTGACTCCTTCTGTTTCTGTAAATAGGGTGAGTGCCTTTCAGTTGAATCTTTGGCACCTTTCTGTGTACCGTGGTTGTTCTAATGACACCCGAGGGGGGGGTCTCATTTTACAAGATCTTCTTGTTTAGTTATTGGGCAAGACTACGGGCACTTTTATTCACTATAAACTGTTACACGTAATTAGGAATACAAGGTCGGCAATATCTCGATATTCATGTCTTGTGGCAGGTTAAATCTAATCATACCATTTATTAGAGACTTAGAGTTGATACATAGTCAATTTTTTAGATCTACAATATTGTGGTCATAATTATACAATGTCGCATCCACAACGTCAATATTGAGTGATCAGGTAAAAAAAATTATATATTGGGAGGAAAGAAAAGAAGGGGAAAAACAAATTAAAGGAGGGCATGCATCAAATTAGTATGCAATATTAATGATGTTAATAATAATAAAGATGAGCACTTCTACTATGCTATATAGTATTGGTGTTTTAATGTACATCTTGAAGTTGTACCATAACATTAAATGTATAAGTTTAGGTTGTACCATAAAGGAATTTGTATCATTATGTTATGGTACAACTTTACAACTTGAAGTTGTACCATCACATAAGGTACAAGTTTAAGTTGTACCATAAAAGAATTTGTACAAAAAGTATAGGTACAATCTGAAGTTGTACCATAACACTAAACGTACAATTTCAAGTTGTACCATAAAAGTAAAAACTTATAGCACCAATGCTATATAGCATTGTAAAATTCCCCTAATAAAGATATGTCAAAATCATGAATAAAGAACAAATATGCGGGTCATTCATTAATCATTTCAGATGTTGGATTCTTTTTTTCTTCCTTCTTTTTATTAATGGCTGGACTGGGCCGGGGAAGCTTTTAGTGGGAGCCGCAAAAGGGAATCTAAATTAAAAAAGCCCATTAAAGAAAAAGGCTTTTAATATAATAATCTCAACGAGATAAGAGCTCGCAGCCTTGGGGAAAAGGAGGCAATTCACGAAGGAAAGGCATCAATGATGAATAGATGATCATCCACATTCTTTAAGATTAACCTCATATCATATATAATAATTAACAGAAAATATCCACTAACACATACATAAGCATAACATAACAACAACACACCTAACAATTCAGATTCTTTTCCTCTGCTTCAAAATAAAGCTGAAAATAGTGGGGGCCTCAATTTGCATGGTGCCTTCCTTGCTCTCTTGTCCAACGAAGGAAACTAATTCATCAAGTGGCCAGAAAACTATGTTCCAACTTACTAGAAAAATAGAGAGAGACCAATATTCTTTGCTTGCCTTCATTCCCTTTCCTGCCTACTGAATTCGATTCCTTTTTTATTGGTCAACACGAAACTGGTTGCCAAGAAGGACTGGGTTTCATTTTCTTTCTTTATTTCAAATTTGAGGTAATGATTTCCCCCTTCTAGATAAGCCAATAACTAGCGAAAGATAGAATCAAGAAATGAGACAAATAAGAATTACTCGAGATAATTCAGGTGCAACTAAATTATAATAAAAAAATTGCTTTACCCTTAGATGGATAGTAATGTTTAAATCTTCGTCCCATTGGTCATTAGTTACCAGCATTCCTCATTTCATTTATCTTGTTAGATATATGACTGAAATATAATTTTAATTTTTGAATTAGAATTGGAGAGTAAAAAATTTACATTTCTCTATGATTATCAACTTACTATTTTTACATATATATATATATATATATATGCATGGACGAGTTCGTTGAACTTATGTTTATAGTCGACGTTAGTTCCTTTTCATATTGATATTTAGTACTGCACATTCAATGAGCTGTACTTCACGAGTTGAACCTCAGCTTCCACTACGCAAACAATTTTAACTAGCAACATTATCTCTTTCGAAAAATGAATGCGTTCCTCGCCATATACAAGTCTACCCCAAATAAAAGCTAGTAGTTATCGACACATTCTGCAGTTCGAGCATCAAATGCACACTTTTTTTTTTTTTTTAAATGCATCAGTTAGTTATCTGTCTCTTTTTCCACTTTTCTGCGCCCTACTTTACCCCAACCCCATTACTTACTTACAAGCTAAGAAGAAGAAGAATAATATAACATATCAATCAAACAAATCCTTCCACAACCATCAACATGATAATAAAGCATCTCCCTTTCCCCACCATACTACACTTCAAAAGCAAAAAAAAGATACACACCACTCATCTTATCATCACCAAAAAAAGCTACCCACAAACAACAGTGGCAGACGAAAGAAAGGAAAAGCTCCACCCTCAAATTTCCCACACACACACACACACAAAATTATATAGCAGTAACTAGCCAAAACCAAAAGCAAGTAGAGAAGAAAGAAAAAAAATACGAACAAAAACAATGTACCGGCTGAGCAACACGGTGATCGGGTGCCTGAACCTGGCGGCACTGTTGGCGTCGATCCCGATCATCGGCGCGGGGCTGTGGATGGCTCGGAACAGCACGAGCTGCGAGAGCTTCCTCCAGACGCCGCTGCTGGTGTTGGGATTCATCGTGCTGGTGATCTCGCTGGCCGGGTTCATCGGGGCGTGCTTCCACGTCGCCTGGGCGCTGTGGGTGTACTTGGTGGTCATGCTCTTCATCATCGCCGCGCTCATGGCGCTGACGGTGTTCGGGTTCGTGGTGACGAGCCAGGGCGGCGGGGCCGGGGTTCCCGGGAGGGCGTACAGGGAGTATCGGCTGCAGGATTACTCGCCCTGGCTCAGGAAGCGGGTTCAGGACCCTGATTACTGGAGGGCTGTGAGAGGCTGCATTTTGGGGTCCAGGACTTGCGCTAAGCTTGCTGCTTGGACGCCTCTCGATTATGCTCAGCGTGACATGTCCCCTGTCCAGGTACAGTACCAATTCGTAGTAGTTAGTAAATATTTCGTTTAATACGTGTATATGTGGAGTCAATAACTTACTATTGGACATACTATTGGACGTAGCTATTTATTAACTTATATAAGCTGTATTTTTATATTTTATTATGGCTATTAGCGTACTATTGGACGTACCATTAGTTTATAAATGAAGAAAAATACACGTAAGTTTTATACGCAACTTACTCGTCTTCAGATTTACACTTGATATAAGATTCATTCATAACCGAATCTCTCCCAACAACTCGAGTTATTATTTAGGATCAACTGGTTTTTGATATGGTATCAGAGCCTAGCGTGATCGAGAGGTTAGTTGTTCGAATCTCGATCACCCTCATTTGTTAAGCATACTGTTATTCCAACATGTGCAAATTACTTCAAGCTCATATAAGAGTAAAGTTTTATTTTGTGGGCGAGTGAGTTAATAAGTGATACAAGATCAACAATTGAACTTTCTCTCAACGTCTCGAATTAATTGAACCTCTCTCAAACAGTTTCGTTTTGTGAATGGATGCAGTCGGGGTGCTGCAAGCCGCCGACGGCGTGCGACTACAACATGGCGACGACGGTGGCGCAGGAGCAGGACTGCTACAAGTGGAACAACGCGGCGGAGTTGCTGTGCTACGAGTGCGAGTCGTGCAAGGCCGGGGTGCTGGAGGAGATAAGGAGGGACTGGCACAAGATGTCGGTGCTGAACGTGGTGGTGCTGGTGGCGCTCATCGCCCTCTACTGCGTCGGCTGCTGCGCCTTCCGCAACACCCAGCGCGCCGAGTCCGATTACCCTTACGGCGTCAACCGCATGAGCAAGATCCGGCCCCGCTGGGATTACTACTGGTACGTTTCTTAATTATGTGCAGTGCACTGCATGCTAGCTCTTATCTTACTACTCAATAATTCTTTCTTAATTATGTGGAAACGGTTATTATGCGTTTGATTCGATGACTATTGTTCTGTTCCTTCACAAGTCTTGAAAGTAAGGAACAAAAATTGGGCCCGATGTAAAAAAAAGGGCCCGGGAGTAGGCCCACTACGCACTATAAAAAGTTTATTATCGTGCCAGCCCCAGAATCAATGCTTCAATCAAAGGTGGTAGTGAAAGATAATGGACAGGACGCGGGGTGATTAATTTAACATGCATCTCGATTCTCGAATTCGAGCATGGGTTTTAGGTTTAGGTATTTTATCACCATATAAACCAATCTTGACAATTAGAATATATAAATTAGTAGTTAGAGTTTAAGTACTTCATACAATACATCCAAATCCAAGGACGTACAGTAAACGTGGTTGGTAATATCTTTAGTAAAATGCTTCAATTTTTGTATGTACATGTGGAGCAGAAAATGAGGTGATTAATTAGCTCACAGTCAACTGGCACCTGAACTTGAATTATATGGCACTAAACTATGATCCTGCAGGTGGAGATGGTGGCGCGACAGACGAGAACAGCTTTATTAAAGAAGGGAATTAAAGCTATATTAAGAATCAGGGAAGCTGGCTCAGCAGTGAGAAGACAACTACAAGGCAAAAGCAAAGCGCCTTGTTTTGGTGGTTTCATCATTAGTTGGGGGCGATCGCCATTGTTATTAATTATCACAATCACAGCAACGGCTCGTTGTCTGGTGAAGTCTCAGGAGTGACCACCTTATTTCACAGTCTCTCTCTCTCTCTCTCGTTCTTCATCAAGTCTTGAACTATCTTTCTGTCTGTACAAAAGAATGATTAGAGTCTAACTAGTTAAGTGGCTTCTTTCTTGGTCGTCAATGATTCATTAGTCTAGTGTTTATTGCATGGATATGGATCATAAGTATATACATAACAACAATCTGTCATACTTAATACTAATTCAACCCGAACTTAATAAGGGTGGAATTGTTGCCAAATCCAACCATGACCCTGTCACTACCCAAAAAAAATCCGGTTTTATAGGGTCAAACATCCAACTTAGCCTGACCCAGCTCTATTCTTCTTTGACCCTCTCTGACCTGTACAAGTAGGGTCCGATTATTGGGTCGGATCACATCAATAAAACTTTACAAACAAGTTCAATGTGTTGTTGGTATGAGAACTTTCATATAAAAAATTGTTGTTATGGGTTATAGAGCCAAATAATAATCCATCCACAAATTGAACCGACCCTTATTGAGCTAAAAGATTACCCGATACTGACCTAACTTGAACCTCAGAGATCTAATTAACCAGACCAAACCAGTGGGTATCTAGAGACTAGAGCCATTCTTATAGCTCTAGAACATACAATCTGTTGGGACAATCATTAAAGCATTTGGGCCTCTGAGCCCATGACCACCAAAAAAGGCCCAATAAAGCAAACAAGCCCAATCCAGAGAAATAGGAGGCGGTCTATGGGTCTCACCTAATAAGACCGCCTAGCATACAACGGAAACAAAGCAGGACGCCCGACAGAGGATATAGTCAACATCCTGACAACAAGGTACGGATACTGAACAAAGTACGGATCTGACCAGGCATTTATGAGAAGTCAGAGGCGGTCGGAGACCGCCCGACACAGCGTCAGACCGCCCGACAGAACGTAGCTTGTCCTCACTCCTAGACCCAACTAGTATAAATACCCAGCAACGGATCACATTTATGGTAACTCCTATCTACCCCATTCTCTCTCTATTTCACTCTACTTACTTCTCTCACTAACTTAGGCATCGGAGGAGGTCCCAGGGCTCCCCTGAGGACCTTTGTTGCAGGACTTCGAAGGTCGCCTCTCATCCTCCCAAGACCGCACGGAGTCAGTGAGCTTCACAAACCGCCCGGTACTTTCCAGGCATAAACATTTTGGCGCCCACCGTGGGGCCCACTACTTCGTCACCAGGAAAAGATGGGAGACGACTTTGAAACCCCGCTCAAGGGTATGACCGAGAACAACGCCCTCCGAGGTCTATCACCGAGAGTTGAAGATGAATTAGAGCTTGAGGAGGTAGTCAAAAGCCAAGGCGCACAAATTGCAAGCATGCAAGATAGCCTATCGCAAATCCTCCAGTTGCTAAAGACAAGAGAAGACCCGCCCGAGGGGTCGAAAGGAAGGACTCGAGAAGAAAAGCTAAAGGCCGCCCTGATCCTCGACAGCCCTGCTCGGACAGAAGGCGGGGGACAGGGGGCGGACGAAGCCGACCTGGGTTTCCTCGAGGAGCACTTACGGTCGACTTACGGGAAACACAAAAGTCCCAACGTCCTCCAAAACCCGCTCTCTAGGGAGCTGTTCAAAACCCCAGTACCGCCCAATTTCTCCTCTCTTGGGCTACCTTCGTATAACGGGACCTCAGATCCCGCCGACCACCTTTGCGCTTTCATGTTGAAAATGCAACTCATCAACGCCACAGACTCTGATTTGTGCCGCGCGTTCCCCGTCACCTTCAGCGGTCAATGCCGGACGTGGTATACTTCCCTCCCGGAAGGGGTGATAGAAAACTTCGAGCAATTCGCGATGCTTTTCTCCACAAAGTTCGCGTCCCAACGGCGCCGCAAACTCACGGTCTCGGCACTCATGAATTGCAGACAGAAGAAAGAGGAATCGCTTGCGGAGTTCTACGACCGATGGAATGCGATCGCTTGTGAAATCGACGGGATCTCTTCGGTCGTAGCCGCCGGAAACCTCAGGATATCAACAACCAGCCTCGAGCTCAAGAGAACGTTGATAAAAAAGGAAGCCATGTTAACGTCATGGTCAGACTTAGATCAATTGGTAAGAAGAGCCATCTTACTCGAAGAAGCTCTCGCCACTGACGACCGAAACCATCAAGGGCGATCCCGAAACGACCCACAAGAGCGGTCGGACGCTCGACGAGGAAGGCGGTCTCCTGAGCGGAAATCGTATCGAAACCGGTACGCAGACCGCGACGGTAAAAGAGAAGTCTACTCCACCGAACGAGAAAGAGGAAGAGAAAGACGAAGGAGCGGGAGAAAACCGGAAGCGTCCTCAGGGCAGGAACCACAAGAAGGAAAAAAGTGGTGCGACTGGCATCAAATGACGACTCATGACACCACGGAGTGCCGGGAGTTCAAAGCCAGCTTGAAGTACTTAGCTCCTGGAGATCTGCGTAACCGCCTCGAAACACGACGAAGTCATCGGGGCAACTCTCAAGAGGGAAGGGAAGATTCCCTCAGCCCGGAGGAAGACAAACCAAGAAGAGCTCGTAAAGAGAGGTCCAGATCGCCCACAAGGAACAAGAACGCCTCGCCGCAGAGGCAATCTCCCGCATACCGACCCCCAAGGGGAGATGACGATGGCATGGAGATCATTACGATCGCGGGGGGTAGGAAGCGGCCCAGAACGGAGGCCGACCGCCTAAGCCACTGCTTAAGCGTCCAACGCCAGGTATCGCCGGACGTCACCTTCCTACCTTCGGAGCTAGCCAAAGAGGAGAACTCAGAAGACCCCTTAGTCATCTCGTTCCGAACCGATAAGTTCAAAGTCACAAGAGCCCTCGTCGACAATGGGAGCTCCGCTGATATCCTCTTCTACTCAGCGCTCCGAGGCATGAAGAAGAGTATCCAAGACCTCAACCCCTCCAACACCAGCCTAGTAGGATTTTCGGGAACGAAGGTCCGTGTCCTTGGGTCAATCACACTCAAGGTCACTATAGGCGAAGGCGGAATCACCAAAACCAAGCAGGTGGAGTTCCATGTGGCGGACTGTCCTTCAGCTTACAATGCCATCCTGGGACGCGGTTTCCTGGCCTCATTCGAGGCGGTCGCTTCCACATGCCATCAAATGCTGAAATTTCCAAGTGGAGGGCAGACAGGACGCGTCCGGGGCAACGTGAAAGAGGCAAAGGAGTGCTATCAAGCGACCATTGAACGCCTAGAGGTCGACCTCGTCGACGCCAGAGACGACGTTCCCCGACCTGAAGCCGTGGAAGGAGATATAGAGGTTCCCTTAAATGAAGATCAACCAGACAAGACCGTCCGCATCTCCGCGCATTTGGCCACTGAGGAGGCCCGAAAGCTATTGACACTCCTCCGAGAGTACCAAGACCTCTTTGCCTGGGGACCGGAATACATGCCCGGCGTCCCCCGAAAGGTGTCTGAGCATCACCTCTCCGTCAAAAGCAAAGCACGGTCTATACAGCAACGGAGAAGACACCTATCCGTTGAGAAACAAATGGCTCTCGAAGAAGAAGTCCGAAGACTGCTCAAAGCGGGGTTCATCCGTGAGGTAAAATATCCCACTTGGCTTTCAAACCCAGTCTTTGTACGCAAGGCAGGGGGCACCTGGAGAATGTGTATTGACTTCACCAGCCTCAACGCGGCTTGCCCTAAGGATGCATACCCTCTCCCGCGCATTGATCAGCTGATCGATGGAACCGCCAACCATGAAGCGCTCAGCTTCCTGGACATGTTTTCGGGGTACCATCAAATCAAGATGGCGGAGGGCGACCAAGAAGCGACTGCCTTCATGACCCCGATGGGCAACTTCTGTTACGTGGTCATGCCCTTCGGACTCAAGAACGCAGGGGCAACCTATCAACGAATGGTGGATGCGGTCTTCAGAGATCAAATGGGAAGGAACGTGGAAGCTTATGTTGATGACGTGCTAGTCAAGAGCAAGAAAGCCAGCGACCACCTCTCCGACCTACGGGAAACCTTCGAGACCATGAGACAGAGGAATCTGAGGCTCAATCCTCTCAAATGTGTCTTCGGGGCCGAAGCGGGAAAATTCCTTGGCTTCATGATCACAAAGCGAGGAATAGAAGCCAATCCAAAGCAGATCGAGGCTATCCGCAACCTGAAGCCGCCGAAGACAATCAAGGAAATCCAGGCCTTCAACGGCAAGATGGCCGCATTGGGAAGATTCATTCCGCGGTCTGCAGACAAGTGCTCCCCCTTCTTCCAAATGCTGAAGAAGTCAGCCTCAAAACTTCAGTGGGGCGCTGAGTGTGACAAAGCTTTCGCTCTACTGACAAACCAGCTCAGCTCACCTCCAATCTTAAGCGCCCCCGTAGGTGGCGAGCGGCTTTATCTCTACCTCGCGGTGTCGGAACAGGCTGTGAGCTCCGCCTTAGTACGAAGAGCGCAAGATGGCTCTGACCAGCCCGTCTACTACGTGAGCAAAGCGCTTCTACCCGCCGAGACAAGATACATGCCGGTCGAAAAAGCGGTCCTCGCCATCGCCTCAGCAGCTAGAAAGTTAAGACCGTACTTCCAAGGACACCCCATCACGGTGTTAACCAATCTGCCTCTCAAAAGCGTCATGCGGGGCATGGACGCATCGGGAAGACTAACAAAGTGGGCGGTCGAGCTCAGCGAGTATGACATTGAATATGCTCCAAGACCAGCCATCAAGGGCCAAGTCCTAGCCGATTTCATCGCCGAAGGCTTCTCTATCATCTCCCCTCCCTCCGAGGAGCGCAACCAGATCTGGCGCCTGCACGTTGACGGAGCAGCAGGAAAAACCGCCTCGGGGGCAGGGATAGTCATAGAATCGCCCGACGGAGTCATCCATGAAATCTCTCTACGGTTTAAAGACATCAAGACCAACAACGCCGCAGAATACGAAGCCCTCATCAATGGACTGGCGGTGCTCGCCAATATGGGCGCATCCGACGTGCATATCTACTCTGATTCCCTCCTGGTGGTCCAACAAGTGCATGAGGCGTTCGAAATCAAGGATGAGGCGCTGGCCGTCCTAGCCGGCAGGGTCAAGAGCGCCCTAGCTCAATTAAGCTCCTGGAAGCTCGAGCACGTTCGAAGGGACGACAACCAGCATGCCGATGCGCTCTCCAAGCTGGCAACCGCTATGGATTTCGAGGGCGACCGCCACGTCACGGTTACCAAAGAGGGAGACCTCCCAGGAGAAGTCATGGCAATAGGGGACGCCTCCGACTGGAGGACACCCCTATTCCAATACTTGGAACATGATGTTACCCCACAGCACCCCATTGAGCGGAAGGCACTCAAACGAAGGGCAGTAAGGTACACCATCATTGGCGGGCAACTTTGCAAGAGATCGTTCTCTGGCGCCTACCTGAAGTGCCTCGGCCCAGA